AACCCTTCCCTCTTTGCCTTCCTCTGTATGCCATGGCAAAGGAACTACTGTAAAGGCCACTCAAGACCATCCCCTACGTCGATGTCCTTGCTCTAATAGCGAACTTTAGAGAAGAATTCCAGACAGAGGTCAGCATCGTTGTGTAAACACATGAAGGAGGGTCGTACTTTCCCGCTGGGGAGGGGAACCGTACTTGTTCGTTGGGAGAGGGGAGAGGCGGGGTCGTATGTGCCTTTGAGAGAAATTTGCCGCGTCAAGAAAAAATTTTTGAAATTTTTCCTGGTTGTTGGCTTTTCGTCATTTTTTCCTGTCTCATGTGTATTATATGCCCCTCTGCCTACTTCCCCGCCCCCTCTCTCGACAGCAAAATCGGCAGCAGAATTTGTTGGGAAATTGGTAGGTAGCAGGTAGGTATTGGGGAAGGGGCAGGGGTCGTACCGAGGGACTCTTTTAGGTGGGGACGGGGGGAGGGCGGTACTGACGCCACCATTCGCTCATCACAATGCTGTACCCTGATTCCAGAGCAAAGTGCCTGGCAAAGCCATGTTCTTGAGCTCTGACCATCAACTCCTAGTAGACCGCTACGGGGAAATTATTGAGAGTTGGGGACCCCCGGTACCTGGGAAGCGATCTAGCCGCTGACAGCGTTTAGGCTTGGATGAAGTATAGAGTCCACCGGCACCCTCTACGACCGGCGATGCCCCAGAACGCTCAGGGGCAAGGTGTACCCTGCAGTGGTGACCTGCAGCGGTGAGTGCTATGCAGGAACCATAAAAGGCAGCTCCACTTAGCTGAAATGAGGATGCTGAGACTGGCCCATGACCGAACTCGTCTGGATAAGGAAACGAAGACGTCACCGAGGGTTTACGGACGGACCCTGCCGAAATGAAGACATGGCCTTGATGGTACAGGTATTTTCTATGCAGACCTGACGACTACCCGATAAGGGAGATGCTGGGCTTCGAAGTACAGCGAAAGCGGTCACGAGGAACCTCAAAGAATAGGTGAAAGGACATCAACAGCGGACCCCGCAAGGGCGCAGGACTAACGCAATGGAGAAGATAGCATACTCTATTTGCTTCCAGCCATCGGCCCAACAGCCGAGAATTTCAGCCGGGCGAATATCTAGCGTTCTCATTACGACGTTGTCCACTCTAGTAACACTTATGCGCCTCGACAACCCAGAAACGCCCGAATTCTCCGAGCTTCTTCCCTCCAGGACAGGCTAGTCGATGTCAGTCTCATTCAGGTGAGAAAAACGCGACTTCAACCTATATTCGAGAGCAATAAGAGGCGTGGTCGCAAAGGCGGCGACAGTCCTAATAAAAAAAACAGCT